GGATGCTAAGTGTTACAGTATAAATGCCGTAATTATATAAATTCTTACAAAGGTGCAGGTCACTCTGACTCTTAGGATCAGGTAAAACTTATTGGAAGAGGGAACATATGGTCAAGGTTTTAAAGAACAAATAGAGTGTCAGTAGGGAAATGTTTAGGCAAGGAATGGCATGAACAAGGCAAAGATGTTGGGCAAGGCTGCGGTGTTTTCATGTCTCCACCTGCCCTACTTTCCAGAATGTGGAAAGGCAAAGTGGGAAGTATGGCTAGAAAAGGAGATTTGCTGTCAGGCCTTGGTACACCCTAAAAATTATGCCCAGGAGTTTGGACTATATTGTATGCAAAGGGGACAGTTGAGGATTTGAGTCAGGAAATGACCTGATGAGTTGTATTTGAAGAAGATAATTTTCATGGAGAAAGTAGAGATAGAGAGAGACCATTTAGAAGGCAATTATAATATTGTAATAGTCTGAGTAAGAAATGGTGAAAACCTGAACAGGAGAAAGTGGAGAAGCAAAGAGCCAGTGGAATTCATTCATGGGTGAGGAGGTGGGGTAGAATCAACACGACTAAAAGAAAAATCGAAGGGAGAAAAACTAAAGATGATCCCAAGTTTTCTGTTTTGGGTGACTTAAAGGATAACATTCCCTTAGCTGAGAGAGGGAACACAGGAGCAAGAAATACATTTATAAGTAGTAAGATGACAAATTTGGCTTGGGTCATGTTGAGATTGAAGTGGCAATAAGACATGTTTGGGGAGATTCTGCGACTCTGTTGCTCATAAAAGCTGATGCTTGGCCAAAGGGATCAAAGCTACAGGTGTAGATTTGGAAGTCAGTTTAGCTGAGGTTGTTGAGCCAATGGATGAATTCAAGAAATGTTAGGCAAGTAAAAAGAGAAGAAAATGTAGAACAAAACTTGTGAAATTTCTACACTTAACAAGTTGGCAGAAAGGAAAATTCGGGAAATGAGGAAAACAGGAACCAATGAATAAGAGAAGAGCTCTGGAAAACACTTATTTACAGGCATAAGAGAATGGTTTTCTTCCTAATGTTTCAAATAATATTAATTAACTTGCCTGATCCTCAACTTTTCTCATCTGGAATACATATCCCACAAGGATGGGTTTTAAAAGACGGTGAATGTGGAAGTGCTTTGGTAAATCATCAGACATTCTGCAAATCTTGGGTCTGATAATTAGCGTCACAGAAGTGAAGAAAGTGGAGACTTCCAAGAAGGGAGAAAGCAGTGTCAGATGCTAGAGTTTCAGAAGAATATTTATTTTTAGCTCAAATTGTTTGGTTTGTGATTTAAGGAAGTTAAGTCAAAAGAGTGAATCTGTTCTCTAATCACTTAGAACCGTATTTCCCAAAGTATGGGGCTGTGTCCCTGGTAGCAGAGCAAACAGTTTTCGATTTGACGTAGACATTAAGTAGAACTGAATCACATAATGAGAAAGTTATTCTCCTTTTGTTTCTCTTTTAATCCTTCTGATTTACATTAACGGAGGAGGACTCAGTTGAGGCTAATAAGTTTGTAACATCTAACACTAGCACATCTCCCTTTTCGGTAAACTGCTTTAGGTTGTCAGCATTATCTAGCTAGAATTTAACAACATCATGGCAACTTTAAGATTACCACCTACAGTACCTTCTTATTTTGGCAGGGGATACCAATTTTCCAGTTGCAGTAGTGATACAAAGTTTCCTTTTAAAATGTTATTTTAAACAAAAAGGTAATAAATTTTTAAAATGTTAAGTACATAATTGTATAGGTGGTATATAAGATATGGCAAACTGAGAAAGTGGCATTCCAATGATGGAAGTTTGGACGTTTTAGACTTAGCAGAACCGTTGGTCCTTCTCTTGTTTAGAGTGGCTTGCCTTAGTTCAACCAGATTAGAACAAGTTGGGAAGTTTATCCTGGGATAGAGGTTGGGGGTCTTGGATTCTAGACTTCCAGCTCTAGACCTTGTCCTTCCCCTAAGATGTTGGGTCAATTTTTGAAGCCACTAGACTTTTCTGGACTTTGGTGTCCTTAGTCGTTAAAATAAGAGTGTTAGTTTTAAATGATTAATAGCATTCCCTGCAGCAACAAATTCTATGATTCTTTGAGTGATTAGTAAATAAGCCTATGCTTTTAAATTGACAAAAGTCAGATAAAATGTTTTTCCTCCGCAAGCCATCAATATCACGTGTCAGTTCCAGAGGTTGTTCCCAGACTAACATCCGCAGCAAGGAAAACATCAACACATTCATTCTCTAATGATGATTCATATTCTACCTCATTTATGAATGATAGTTATTTCAAGAAGGAATCTCTGCCTTAGTTAGGGTGATTGATTAAAATTGAAAATGAAATTGTAAATGAAAATTTATTTCAATTTCCTGAGCCTGATGCTTATGCCAGCACCCTACTCTCGTCAGTAGTTTCATTGCAGTCATATCTTATCAATTCATAAAGCCCGTGAATTTTGTTCTTCAGCGTAGTAACTCATAAGGAGTAAGTTCTCATACTTAAAAAGATGTCTCCATTCATTTATTTACTAATATCTTTACATCTTTTAAAATTTATTCCCCTGGAGAAAAGGGAAGGCAGGTGAAGTATTTTCTAACTGGCTGAAAGCTCTCCTAAGTATTATTGTGAATTAATGTTACTCTACATTCCAAGTAACTCAAAAATAGAAGCATACCATCTATTTGGAATATAACAGTATGATGACTTCCACCATCCGAAACACAGCCAAGGAGCAGGTGATAAATGAAAAATGAATATAGTGCAGAGGTAGAAAAAAGCACACGCACAGTCTTTGCATCTGAAAAATTTGAATTTGTCTCTGCCTTTAAAATTTTTCCTTATGAACAATTGCTTCTCTATAATTAGATAGAAAGTATTTGTCCCTGCCGTTTTTTGAACTGCATCGATGTCACTTTTTGCTTTAACTTGCTCTAACAAGGGTGATGTTGTGCAAGCAACTTAACCATTTTAAGATTCTGTTTTCACATCTGAAAAAAAAAGGGATAATAATAAAAGCCAGTGTTCTGGCCAAATTCACATTCGTATGCAAAATCCTTAGCAATGTGATAGATACTTCCTAGGCACTCAACAAGTGTTAATTCCCAGTGTTGCAAAAACACTCTCTGAGCACTTGAGATTAAACATGCACTTGATTTTGGAAGATCATCTTTTACTGCCCTTCAGAGCTTCTTTCCTTCTCCTATCCTCTATGTGATAGTAAATTTGATTTCCTGATTTCAAAGCTTACAAATTAGAAGAGCAGATTAGAAGCTGCAAAGGATACCAGAAGGAAAAAGACAAAGGAACTGAATAATATAGAAACAATTTAAAAGTCGCAGCTATTTGAGGCCATTTAGTTTAGGGGAAAATGATCCCTTATACCTCAGTAGTCCCTTAAGGCTTTTCTGTATTACAGCAAGATATAATAAGGGGTATTCCAAATGATGATCTTGATTTATCAAGGCTAAATTAACTTATATAAACTTTGTTTATAGTAGAAAACTTACAATGCGTTTTGGAAGAAATTCAGTATGAGAAGAACGAAATTTTAAGTGAATTTTTTTGTGTTTTATGGGTAAACCCATAGCCATCCAAAACACCCAGCCATGGAGATGAACTCAGTCTTCAGGGGTTTCACATAAACATGGTCTTACAGAAATATCTTTTGTGTGTCTCCAGCAAATAAGCTAAGGCTCCACACATTCTATGGAAGAGGATAGGCATTTCTATCTGTATCTAGTTAAAATGATTTTTATGCAGATGGCTTTTTCTTTATGTTTCAAGGAAGAGCATTTGACAGAAATTACTTGTGGACTTTAGCAGTAGCAACTTTCTTACGTTCTTTTCCCCAGGACTTGGTGTTAGGACAGTTTACCCAGATGAGTCCCAGGGGCTGACGTTCTTGAGTGTCACCTAGATTCTCTGGGGGAAACATTTGAATCGGGCCTGTTTTGCACGTTAAAACAAAAGCCCTTTCTAAGTTACACCCATAAGAACAGCACAAACATAAGTTTGTACAAACTCAAATGATAACCCATTGTATACTGACTCAGTATCACAAATATTGAGCTAAGTGAATCTGAAAGGATCAAGGAGTGGGCACTTGCAGACACCATAGAGAGAACATGTAGAATCCAGCATCATCAGAGGTCAACTAGTCAAATACCAGGGCTGGATTTTTCAAAGAACCAGATAATGCCAGTTTTATGGCCATTAATAACATTTTAGTTATATAAACAAAGATAAGAGTAATAAAAAATAAATTCTGCTTTACAGTGTAATCTGATTGCCAACAGAGTTCAGAAGGGAACTTTCTCGTTGTGCACGTGGCATTGTGTAACGGACCAGTGATCATTCTGCAGACCCCTCCCCAACCTTTCATTTCCCTTTTATGGACAGTTCTTAGTTCTGCCAGATCCGTGAGCTATTCCAGGGAGGCAGCTTCTTTGGTTTCTCCTTGAAAGCTCTTTGATTGTGCCTCTGGTAGTTAAGGCACCAAGTGGTCTTCGGGGCTATTTCATACGTGTGCTCTGCAGCTAATCAGAGTGCCTTGGCCCACTGATTTCCTACCTCTGTGTTTCCCACATGTTTAGGGGCTCAGTTCAAACACCAGACCCACCAACCTCTGGACAGGCATGGCAGAGCTCAGCACTGATTTGGATGTCTGCTTCAAACAGAGATTTTCCAAAGGATATCCTGTAGTAGATAAATCATTTCATTAGGCCAGGTTCACTTTTCAGACCAGGAAGCAGAGTGCCTGCCGTGTAGGAAAACTCAGATAAAGTTGTTATGGCTGTACTCAGAGCACTTGTAAATATTGTTGTCAATGTCTTTTATACAGGTTCCATTAAGATTGTATTTAGACATTGACAGGTTAATTATGTGTTTTAAAGCTTTGCTTATTGAGATCTGATAGGAGTGCTATGAAATGAGTCTTTTTACATATTGCAATGACAATTTTTTTCCCCGAAATGTCTCCTCCAGTTGATTACTCCTCATGCCATCCGTGTGCAGACCCCTCCTCGGCACATCCCTGGTGTTGTAGAAGTCACATTGTCCTACAAATCCAAACAGTTCTGCAAAGGGACACCGGGAAGATTCATTTACACAGGTAAGAACCACTGCCTTGGCCTTGTGGATCTGTTACCTTGACTTGTATGTATCAGTTTGTGTTTTATTTTTAAGTCTAGTTGCTGTTAAGACCTGCTGTCTTTCTCCATTTCACCATATGTACGACCAAATGAGTTGCTTTTAATGTTATTATTATTATTTAAGAATTCATTGGGTGTTGAATGACAGGATGCTGCATGACATGTTCAGTGGAAGTAACTGGTTGGATACCTAAAGAAGCAGTGTGAGAAACAAGGGAAAGGGAAGGAAGTGCTAGACAGTCCTGAGTCTCTCTGGATGTTAACCATCTGTGTTGGGTTTGTTTGCTTTATGGAGTAGAGTTGCACTTTAGTGAACAGTACAACTTTCTTCTGACCTGATCATAGCATTTGTATTAAAGACAATTGGTAGTTTTCATATTTAATTCTGGGTTGGTACTTTCTTCGCCTGTAAGCTGCATTTTGCCCTCCCCAAACGGCCTTGGCACTTGGGCCCACCCTGCAGTAAGAAGCTAGGGTTACAGGGTGAATGTGAATTCCCTTGCATCAGATGGAGAGAACCAGGCAGGTTCTCTGTGGAAATACATCAAATACACAGTCTAAGTGCCCAATGTGTACTTTAAGAGATTCTCAGATTGCAACGTGCGAACCAAACAGCCAGGGATCTTTTTACAATTCGGATTCTGATTCAGTAGCTCTGAGTGGGACCTAAGACTCTGATTTTCTAACAAGCTCCTAGGTGAGGCTGATGCTGCTGGTCCAAGGACCACACTGGGAGTAGTGACATTCTGGGCCCTCTGCTCAGTAGCACTCATCGGGGAACTGTCTCCAGGAACTAGTCCCACGTTTCCTTCTTCATTCAATAAGGGACCACAAGGCCTCATTAAGTACAGAGTGGAAGTTGCTTTCACACAGAGACTTCAGAGCAGCGAAGTGATAACTCTAACACATCCTGAGTATAACTGTACCATTAAATGGACAGATTTTATTTTGCTGTGACATTTTACCTCAAAGCATCTTTCCTTTTGTATTTTAATACTAGGAATAAAACCAACCATGCTTCTTAGTGTCTCTCTCCCTCTCTCTCTCTCTCTCAAAATTATAAAAACAATTAATGCATCCTGACCCTTGGAAATGCCTCCCAGCCCTTTAAACAAAATGCAGGTTTGGTGCCTGCCTGACGATTAGTTTTAGTTAATTGAAAATTATAGGATTGACCCAAGAGGAAAATTTTGTTTGCACTCCAATCACTTTTACAAATTAAGGAAAATTACCACAATTTTGTTTAGCTAAGGTTTCACACTGAGTTCAAGAAATTAGCTCAGCCATCCCAACAAAGTCAGCACTTTGTTAGTGAGCACTTGAAAAAATAATAGTCTATCTGGAGTTTTGTGGTGTATACAAACGAAGCATAGAGAAAGCTATGATGCTTTATAGAAGTAGGCCAAGTGTTTTTAATTAGGCTCATTGGTTCAGCGTAAGTTTTGAAGAACAATCAAACTAGCAGATTAGCTGTTTCTTTTAAAGCTAGGATTTCTTGCCATTCATTTTTCCCATGAGAACTTCCACATAGCACTATTTTTTTTTTTTTTACAAGCCTCATTATGGGCCTGCAGGAAAAGGACCAATTGAAACTTCTGATACTGTAACATTCCCCACCATCATTCCGATGGATGGGAGTTTTTCACAATGTTCCTCACTGAACTCGGTGTTCTGGAACATATTACAAAACCACAGAGGCCAAATGTTTTCTCTGAGGAGTTTGGACTCTGTTTTTGGCCGAAAACATTTAGGCCTCGCTGGCTGCTTATTTACTCTGCTATTAAGAACAAGAAAAGGAGAAGAAAAAGAAGAAGAAAATGCTCGTGTGGTGGGAGGTACAAGAGGCAACCAGGCGTGATTCCGCTTTGGTGACAACGTCCCTGCCCATTAATGGTTCCATTTTGTGGTCAGGTCTCATTTAGAAGAAATTATTTTTAATCAGTGTTCAACAAAATATCCCCTTGAGCCACCTGGCCATAAAAGTTAAAAAAAAAAATCATCCCCATTAAATTACTTAAGTTCTCAAAAGAAAATAGCTAGGGACCCATCATTATTTGGAATTTTTTTAACCATTAAAAAAAATTGCCGTCAATTTAAGAAATCACATCTTGGAAAACTTGTATCATGCAGGAATTAAGATCAAAGATAAAAGGGCAGATTTGCAATTCTAAGAAGCAAAGTAGTTAAGAGAAAGAGAGAGAAATCCTTGGTGTGCATAGATGTGTGTAAGTGTGCGGGAAATTTGAAGTATGAAAAACGCTTCTGCTGCTCTTGCCTCAAACTGTGGCCAACAGACAAGAAGACTTAATTTTTAAGTATTCTAGGAGAGAGTCTCACCTCTCCCCATGTTAGAAAAATAAAATTTTAAAGAAATTGGCAGAAAAACTTCCCCAGTGATGTAGCTGGCTGTTAATAGTCGCTGTGACATTACATCGTTTCTAACAAAAGGGAATCTCTGTTAATTGGTGAGCCCCATTTGGGCCTCTTGATCATTAGCGTTAAATGCCCCTACCAAGGTCACTTGTTGGTGGCTGGTGCTGCCAGCCCCTGTGATTTGCTCAGTTTACCTCCTGCTTGTCACCACTTACTAGCGAAGGCATAGAGATGGGTCGTAAAACCTCTCTGTTCCTTATATCCAAACAACTGCTCAGGTCCTTGTAAATGTGCAGTCCTCCTCTTCTGTCCATCCACAGAAGCTCACACTTCATTTTCTTTAACATCCACAGCATTTCAAGATGTGAGGCTTGGTTTTCTGGATGGGATGAGCCAACCCTCTTGTTTCTTAGTGGAATGTCACTTGGAATTTTTCCCTTAAAAAAAAAAAAGAAATATCCTAGGACTGAAAAATAATGACCCAAATTAAGGCACTGTTGCCGTTTGGGGAGTGTGTGTGAGAGAGTTTGGATGTGTGTATGTGGAAGTCTCTCAAAATCCATAATCATTAAAAAAAAAAAAAAACCTGAGACGGGAACAGCATGGCCTAATCTATGCAAATAAAGGCAGACTTTTTGGGGAGAGAGGAAGGAATTTGACTAAACACAGATTGCCTGCAAGCTGGCTCCACTTGCGAGGACTGAGGGCGGCTCTCCGTCACTGGTTCCTCAGACCAGGACACAGGAGGGCTTCTCAGCTGCCAGATGTGCGGTCCCCTGTTTGCCCAGTCGGAGTGAAGGAGGGAAGTGAACCCCAGCTCAGAACAAAGAAGCTCAATAGCACATCCCGGATCTTATTTATTGTAGCCAGTTATTCCTATGTAAATGCAGAGCACGGATGACTTTAAATTTTAAGTAATATTTTCTAATGGAAGGAAACAAAAACCCTTTCAAATGACAAAACTGTTTTCAAAGCCCCTCTAATCATGTGTCTGATCAGTCAGTCCAATCGGAAGTAAATCCCCATAAACCTCCACTGCCATGGAAGGCGGTCTACCTTTGTTGTTCTCACGGCTTGCTTTTCTGCAGTTGTTACGTCTTTAAGTGACTTGGATCTTTTAGAATTGTAATCTCTCCTGCTAAGCTTTAAGTAACCTTGGGAGCTGATAAAAGACTCTTAGGAGCCTTTAACTGCTTCTTCAAAGTTCTTAGAATTGGTTTTCCTGATAAGAAGTGGCCAAATCCAAATGTAGTTTTTACCTTCATTCCCGTTATTTCTCCATTGGAGAGACTGCTATCTTTGGGGAAAATGTGACTGGACAAATGGGCCACCGGGACAATGTTTGGCCAGCTTTAGTATGCCTGAGATCCATATACTGCCTGCTCCCCAGCAAGTTGGTGAAAGTCCCGATGAATGATCATCTGACAGCTCAGGTGTCTGGTTAGGTCACATCTCAGACCCTGCTCCTGCTGGGTTCTCCTGTTCTAAACATTTTCCACCAAACTCCCTGCCCCTGTGGAAGGACTAAACCAATACCCTGTATATTAGTCTCAGAATTAACTTTGAAGTAAAAATTCTTCCTGGAAATACTTTCTGCTTGTACTTCATTCCCAAATAACTTTGCATGGAGAATCATGACCCATTAGAAGGGGCCATTTCGGTTGAACATGCTTTGTGAAACTCGATGACATGTACCACCACGTCTTTCAAGTTTTCTTTCTTCTCCCCATTCTTCTTAGGTTCTCCCTCTTACCCCTCCCTCTCTTCTTCCCTTCACCCTCTTTTCTTCCCCCCTCCCCATTCTTTGCTTCCTCACTTCCAAGGAGACAATATAGCAGTGATTGAATCCTTGGATTCAAGAGACAGTGGTTGTAGATTGAACTCTCAGCTCTACCACTTACTAGAGAGTTTGTTTTGGGGACATTATATGATGGCTCTGAACCACAGTCACCTCATCTTTACAAGGGAATAATTCCTTGCATGGATTCTCTTTAGTATCAGGAAAATGTGTGTAAAGCACCCAGCATGAGCTAGCATGAGTATTAGTAGTTCCCATTAATAACTGACGGCTGTTATTATTATTCATCCATTCATCTGTTGCTGAGTCTCTACCATGGTATAAATATTTTACGTGTAGTATTGTTTATCTTCTCATCATTTTCCTGGAGGTCCAATAAATGTCCTTTAGGATTTTTAGTAGCAAAACTGTAGGAATCAGTAAATTAAAGAAACAAGTAACACCAATCAACCATAAATAAAAAGAGCAAAATATAAAGTAGCAAGAAAAAGATTTATAAATGTGAATATAACAATTTTGATATAATAAATATTTTCTCAGGAATGGCCTCAAACAATGAATATTTTAATAAGGCAGCCCTGATTTATAACGTTCTCTGGTGTTGACTTTTCAGGAACAACACATGCCTGTTCTCTTATTTCCGTCTCAAACTTCAACCCTTCCTCTGGAGGCCATAGTGACATGGGTACCGTCTATCACCAGCCCCCTTCAAAGATGTTTAGGTTATAATCAGCTTCAACTCCAGGTTCAAGAGCTTTCAGGCCAGAAAGCTCTGTTTTTAGTTCTTGA